ACGATGGCTTAGATATCACATGCTCAGAATATTAGAAATGTTTATGATTTAAAGTGCCTGTTTCGTCTACTGAAACACAGACCAGGAACCAGTAAGTGTTTAAGTGGAGCTGTAAAGTGACCGTTTTGTAAGATGATGTGCCACAATGATTTTTCTCTTGGCAGAAAAGACTGCTGTTGGTTCGTCTCATCACTTGAGAGGGACATATTTCAGCAGTGGGAGAGTATTTTATTTCAATTAACGATTTTTTCTTCAAACCATCTCTGTGAGCATACAGGAAACTTTCATATACTTGAAAGTCACAAGACACGTAAAGCATCCTCTGAGAAATGAGAGATTGTTGAGAGTAACTCATGCAGGGATGGCCTCTTCTAGAGGGGTCCCACTGCTGCGGGGCGGGAGCTGCGAGACTTGCAGCGGGACCTTGGTGCTGTCAGCCAGGTGAGCTTGGGCCATTTCTGCTGGCTGGCACCTGAGGCTTGGTCACTCCGCTGTCCCAGCACCAGTAGTTCAGCCTTGGTGCCACCTATTTGAGAGTTTATTCATATAAAATAAAAATTAAAAGATGCAATTGGGAGAAAGTCTTTAGTAAGCTGTGAAGTAACATTAGCAGTGGATTTTTTTTTTTAAGGTAGTAAAGTTGTTCTGCAGTAGTGAGTAGGAGACAGTTATGTCTTTTATAGCCTTTTTTGAATACCAATTGGGTAAAATCCTTTATCTCAAGCCTCATATTTTATTAGATAATGACCAAGAAGCATCAGTATTTATATTGCCAAGTTGCAGGTGATTAGTTTAGTAGTATTCCTGGAATTGCAGGCATGATTGTTCCTACGTTACCAGTTTTTTTTTTTATAAAGCATTTATTGCATAAACGTTTTGGGTTGTATTGCTCGGAGCAACTGAAATCTCTTTTCAATTACTTGTACATATTTAAAAAAAAAATCAGTACAATATACAAGATCAATGTGTTATTCTTTTCGAGTCAGCTAGGAAAGGTGATGCAGTTTAGGCTGAAGTTGTTTGTGTTTCTGAAGTTTTGTCAGTTACAGTTGACAGAAAAAAATAAATACATCTGGGTTATGTTCATCAGACATCAGGAGGAGTGAATCAAAACTCTGATGCTGTTTATTTACAGCTATTTACAAATATTTTACTTAAAAAAAAAAAATCTTATTCGGAACAGGGACGAGATTGTTTTCATTAACTTCTCTAAAAGTTTTATTTTCCTTCATATACTGTGCCAAGCAAGAGTCTTATTCAGTTTTCCAAGTTCTCCAGCACATAATAGTTAAATATTTTTATGTCAATTAATATTGACAGGAAGTCAGTTTGAACAGGATTGGAAAATTGAAGTAGTTGGCAGAACTGGCTAATTTCACTGAATTTCCTTTCACTAAAAATATCTCTAAAAGAAGCTCTCCTTTTGAGATACAATGAATGCTTGTTTGACTGTAGTTTAGAATTGGTGGTGACTCTTGTCCTTTAACCAAAAGGGCTTGAAAAATATTAATAACCTTTTGAAACATATTTGGCTTCCTCTGTAGTATATGTAATTATGCTCCTGCCCTCCAAAAGTTTACATTGCCCTCAATGTATGCGAGTAACCCTATCAGCTTGAATGATCTGCAATAGAAACAAAAGTTCTGTAGAGATGCTTATGGGAAGTTGAGCGTTTCATTTGTGTACATGTTGGTAGGATTAAAGAGTTCTGAGCATGGTTGCCTTGTTGCATTTTGATGTCTGAAACGGCAAGATTTTAGCCCTGCTAACTGAAAGCATACAGCATCAAATATGTGTTCTCACTTATATTTCATGCAAATATGTTAAATAATTTTAGATAGGTTGCAATGGCAAGTATTAAAGTTATGAAATAATAGAAATAGGATGAGTTTCATGTAGTTGTTTAGGTCCTGTGCTGCCTCTGCGTTATGACGCAAGATCATCATAGCGTACTTACAGGAAAGCCTAGAAAGTCGCTGTAGGGAGCCTTCTGCTGTTGGGAATCCCAGCCCTGGTGAGTGAGCAGGGGAAGAGGAGACACTGGTCTCTTAGGGGTGTCTCAGACTCTGGGAGGCTGTTCCAGTCAAGGCATTTTCTTCAATGTGCTTCCTCCAGCTTCCTCTCCTTCCTGAGAACTTCTCATCATAAGCTTTTTCTTGTTAGAAGTGCTGGTTGTAGTTATTGTGGGTATTAGAGAATTACTTTCCTTGGAAAGAGAGAGGCTAAACCTTCTCAAGCTATTTTAAATACGTTTTGCAGTCTCAGGCAGCAATTAAAATCCTCAGTAAAGACATAAAAATGATATAGGTGCAGTACATTTAACTGTTAGCCTTTTGTCACTCTGAACAGGGAGTATATTTGGAAGGCCTGCTGCACGGCTGGTTTGGCTCCAGTTTCCGTGTGTTAGGAAACCATGGCTGCCTGTGGCTTGCCTGCACGCTGACTGCCTCCGAACATCTTTAACTGTGAGGAGACGTTGAAGTCTTTGGTCATGACCCTTTGTATTGCTCTGAATTTTCTTTATATGTTTCTCATGATGCTTGTAATGACTTTTTTATTTTTATCCTTTTGTATAGGCAAAAGATTTTTGTTTCTTACCAGCAAATGAGATGTTAAACCGGCATATTGAAACAGGGAGCTCCCCTCTTTTTTAGGTACAATTAAAGTAATTGCTAACCAAGACAGTGAAATGCATGCAGATTATTTGGAGTGTTTGCACAACGGAGCTGCTTTCAGCAGCACTAATCTCCAGCCCTCTTTCCTTTCTGATGCTCCTTCAAAACCTCCTTCAGCACATAAGAAATGAACCAAATCTCTTGGCAGGTCCTAAATTTGATTAAATTGAAAGCTCATGAGAGCAGCAGCCCTGTGAGTATTTTGCACTGTAGGGGCTGGATTGGAGCAGAAGCTGTCTGGCATTGCTCCATGGCTGAGTTTTCTCTCTTTTGTCAGAATTTAGAAACTGACTGTGTGAGTTCATGATTCTTTGTGTTACCTTTCGTACTGAAAGCAACTTGTCAGGTGTTTCAGGATCCCGCCCTTTAGTCAGCTGCATTTTGAGTCATTACATTTCCTATTACTGGAGTTTTAAAAGCATGCAGTTTATACAGTGCTGAGAACAAGTTTTAAAATATAAGGTAGTGAGGCTGGTAATCTTGAGGATGGGTCAGGTTAATGGATGGTGGAAGAGCTGGGTGGAAAACCCAAGGATGCAGTAAGGAACCAGCATGTACTGCTGCTTTAGAGAACTGTGCCTTGAAGAAAATTTCCAAGTTAAAAGCTGCTGTTTGTTGCTACTGCTGGCAAACAGCCATGGTCGTTTACAACAGAGTTGTCCAGAACACAGTAACTGGAGGCAGTAGGGTTTTTTGATATTATGGGGTTTGTAAGCACACACTTTGTGATGCTGCAGCGGTAATGAATCAGAGTGAAGGACTGGGAGCCACCTCCTGGGAGAGGTTCTTTTTTGAACTTTGTTACTATGCAGCTTGATTTGCAGCTGAGGTAAACTGACTTGCCCTTCTTGCTGTCCTTAAATAGATTTTCTTTAGCTTTTGTTTGTTTAGGGTTTTTTTTATGTGAACAGATATATTGAGCAAAGTCTGCTCCTATGTGCTCTCCGAGCACATGTTTATACTTGAAGGCAAGCATACATGGCATAACTGTGCAATTACAAATAGTTACTTGAGTTTTGCTAAAAAATGTTTGCATTTCTAGTTCTTGTGATGGCTTAAGTATGCAAAATATTATTTAATTCATTTTGATTACAGGCTTTATGAACTTGTGCAGAAGACGGGATGCCAGGACAGCAACATAGATCCTGTGGAGGTTTAAAGGGTATTTTAACATAGCTCTTGTGGCTGGGGAAACAAGGTACTCTTCTGAGATGCAAACAAACTTCTCAGTGAATGCTGCATAACAAAAGAAAGTTGATACAAGACTAAACAGTGGATTAACATGGGGATGTGAAATTATTGTTGCCATTGATTGACCATGTATTTTCTTCCACAAAGATACATTCAAAAACCTCTCCAGAGTATTCAGAATCATTAAGTTCTTGGGCATGTCATGTGTTTTGAATTGAAACATGAAGCAAAGCTACTCTCTATGATGCATGATGATTTTGTAAAAATGTAAATGGGGCTCTATAGGTTTCAGACATCTGTTCAGTTATTAGGCTGCATTATATTCATTGGAAGGGAAAAAGTCAAAATACTGTTTAAATACATGTTATGGCCTACTCACATGAGAAATCACTTCATAATTTTGCTTGTCTTGAAGCATAATACATTATTTCTTCTGAGCTTTCAGTTGACTTTTTGATAGGTTTATTTTAAAAATCCTCGTGTTTGCATCTTTAAAGAACATGAAGTTGGTGACAAAGTTCTGCAGAGATTGATGGTTCAGAGCTCATTGGAAGGGAGATCTCGAGGCGAAGTGTTCATGTTACAGTGGCGTATTAGATTTCACTATAGATTGAATTAAGACTCTTTTGTGCTGAAAGAAAAAGCCGGCACAAGTTTGTCTGAAGAGGCAAGCACTTAAAATTATAGCAGATCTTAATTGTCTGATTGGGCATGGAGGAGAGAGAGAATATTCATGTTGATGACCAGAGTGTTATGCTAAGAACCAGCTAAGACATAGGATGGTGACTCCAATGTAGTACTGAAAGCAGTATTATGTTTAAGAATTGTAATTTTTCTTTCCTCATGTATGCTAATCAGCATGGCTCTTCTACTACAGTGGGTCTTCTGAGCAATATGTGTAGTATTTTTGTTTTAGCACTGGGTTTTTCATTGACATTTGAAGAGGAGGACAAATCATTAACTTGAGTTAGTGAGCACAGGCTTGATGTAGAAACATTCAACATTTAACTGGAAGTTACGTTTTATACTTACACTAACTTTAGCTTCTCTTCTCTCTACTTTACAGATATACTAATACGGAGCATTTGAC